TGTATGAATGGAGGTACATGTCGACCTGTAAATGGCAATGGTGGATATCAATGCATGTGTCCACCTGGTTACAGTGGTCAACGTTGTGAAAATAGTATGCATACTTAATATTTTTATGCATTTAGAAATTGATAAGAGTTTATTATAAGTCTGATATGATTATCTTCTTTTGAATAGGAGATCCATGTGCTCAAAATCCATGTTTAAATGGTGGTCAATGTGTTGCAAATAATTTAGGAGGTTTTACTTGTGTATGTGTTCCACCCTATACCGGACAACGTTGTGAGGATTGTGAGTCACAAAAGAAAAATATAGTCAAACTTGTTAATTTTGTATAAAACGTTTTTTTTGTTTTAGCAAATCCATGCGCTAGTAATCCATGTGGTAATAATGGTCAATGTATACAAAGTAACGGTGGATTTTATTGTGAATGTAATCTTGGCTTTTTTGGTAATCGATGTGAACGTAAGTGAGAAATATTTAGTATAGATGATGTTGAACATGATTAAATTTCTTTTTGTAGGTCGTGTTTGTGAACCAAATCCTTGTACGAACGGAGGTACATGTGAACCTCGTCCTAATGGTGTTTTTCATTGTATTTGTCCACCGGAATATCAAGGTCAACGTTGTGAATTTCGTAAGTAATCTATGTATGAAGAAATTGAAAAGTTTCTTATTCTTAATTTTGATTTGGTTGATTTATAGGTAAAGTTTGTGAACCGAATCCATGTTTGAATGGTGGAACTTGTAGTCCATATGGTCTTGATACCTATTCTTGTAATTGTCCATTTGGTTATACCGGTCGAAATTGTGAAACTCGTAAGTTTCATGTAAAATAAATTCACATTCAACATATTTGCTTAGGTGATCCATGTATTCCAAATCCCTGTACGAACGGGGGTCGTTGTCGACCAAATGCTGCTGCTGGTACTTATGTATGTGATTGTCCTGTAAATTTTGTTGGTACTAATTGTGAAATAAGTAAGTTATCGATACAAATCATTGTTTAATACGACGATTGAGCTTTAATATAAATATGCATGTATGCTGCTTTTGCTTTTCATCCAAATCTTAAACAGGAAATGCTTGTGCAAGTAGTCCATGTCAAAATGCTGGCACATGTCGTACCGTTAATGGAAATGCTTATCAATGTATTTGTGTTACGGGAACGACAGGCATCAATTGTGAAATTCGTGAGCATGCTCTATAGAATGATTCGATTTCTTATTTTTAATTCAAATACTATGATATTGTATTGATATAAAATTATTATAGGTGATCCATGTGCAGTAAATGCTTGTCTCAATGGTGGTCAATGCATGCCAAATGGTCTCGGCGGATTTACATGTACATGTCCAAATCCATATACTGGCCAACGTTGTGAAGATCGTATGTAAAAAGAAGAAAAATCAAGTTTGTTTTATAAAGAGTTGTTGTTTTTTTTGGTTAGGTATCGATCCTTGTGCTAGTCAACCATGTCGTAATGGGGGTACTTGTCAACCTGGAAATGGTAACTCATATCAATGTATTTGTCCACCGGGTTATTCAGGTTTTGATTGTTCAACACGTAAGCTTTTCTGTTTAATTAGATAGAAAAATAAAACGAGATATATGAGAATGTAGGTGATCCCTGTGCTGATAATCCTTGTTTGAATGGAGGTACATGTATGCCAAATAACTTTGGAGG